CATTCTCAACATAGCCCGGATTCCCTCCGTCACAGAGACTGTTCTCCAGACCTATGAAAAGGACGAGATCAAAGTCTCGGCGGTTCGTGACGCTCTCTTGACGCATTTCGCTCAGAAGCAGTCTCAAAGCCAGAATCATGTGGCCAAGTTCAATACCAAGCGCAAGCGCGATGACCCTTCGTTCACCAATCAGCAACAGGGCTCTGGCTCTGCACCCGATAAGGGTGATAAGGCTGATGGAAAGAAGAAGAACCGTCGAGGCAAGCGCAGTGGGAAGAACAAGGACAACAAGGGCAAGGGCAAGGCTGATCACAGTCATGTCCATGGAGTCTCCGAGATCACTGGCTCCCTCACTATTGGTTCGATCGCCTCGCTCACTCCGTCTATCCCTGCGCCAACGATCTCGCATGTCACGCACATCTCTCGCGATGGACCCAAAATCCGCGCGGTTCAAGAGAAGTCTCCCGTTAACAACAATGGGATTATTGACACCGAGTTTCAGAAGCCTACTCGTAAGGTCTTCGAGCTGGCTAAAAAGATGGATGTGACGGTGACCGCAGAACGCTTCCGGACTCTCGACAAGATCGTCAATGAGAAAGGAATGCTCCGCGAGGACGCAATCATGCGTTCTCCATCTCCGGTTGCTTCCGGCTCGAATCACACGCTGGATGGTGGTCCTCCTGCCAAACGCAGTCGTATCGAGGAGATCCCCGACGTCGAGATGGCCACCGGCCAACAGAACGATCTTGATCTTCTGTTTGGAGATAGCGAGTTCGCCCAGGCTGAACCGGTCAATTGGGATGAAGTCGTCGACTTCAACACCCTTCTGGAGGAGATGGACGCTCCTTCCGCCGAAAGGCAAGTACCCTGCCTTCTTGGGCACATGCACAATTCTGATTGTTGCTCACAGCCAGAGCGCGTAATCACCGCCGCCCCGGGTTCTGTACTTAATTCGTTGATGATTCGTTCGCATGATTTTTGTACCAATCTATTCTGTGTGCACTCCGATTTTGCTGCCTGCTCTAAGTGTAAGGGGAAACATCATCATCATGAATTAGGGCCTCTATGGCTTCTTGATTCAGGTGCATCTCTCCATGTGACATCGGAGATTAGTGATCTGGTCGGATATGAGAAGCTCTCAGATCCTATTGTTGCTCAGACCGCTGATAAGAACACACGTGTTGCCCTTATTGGTCGAGGAACAGCCTTCATTGATCATTACGTCACAAGGCATGGAGAAAAGACAATGGTGACTTCCCAGATATATCCAGTGTACCTAGTGCCAGGATTACATGGTCGTCTCATGTCTTTGGGCTCCTTACTCAAAGGAGGATCTCGCGTTCGTGGAGACGAATCGCGGATCAGCTTACATCAAGGGAAGTCCCCACTCTCGATCATGGAGTTTAGAACTCTAGGGAAGGACATTGCTTTGTACTTCCTGATGTCAAAGCCTAGCACGGCTGAGACAGTGCGATCCATGTCCACTGTTTACAAGGTGGATTATGAGATCATGCACTGGCGATTTGCACATCCGTCGAAAGACGTTTTACGTCAGGCAAAGAAGAATACCAAGGGCTTTCCAGAAGACCTAGTATTTCCCGAGGAAACCCGACCGTGTAAAGGATGCGCGCAAGGGAAAATGCACCAACGTGCCTTCCCGCCTTCCGAAAAACGAGCGGAGAATCCGTTTGATTTGATCCACTCGGATCTCAAACAATTTCCCACGGTGTCTTATCACAAGTACCGCTACTTCATGAGCTTCTTCGACGAAGCACTCTCCTATGGCTGGACAGTATGCCTTGCGCAGAAATCCGATGCCAAGCAGGCTATGCGCAATTTCATTGCGATGGTCAAGAACCAGTTCAATGTCACCATCAAAAAGTGGCATATTGACAATGGGGGAGAATTCATGGGGATGGGAATGGAAGAATTTCTCGCGGAACAAGGAATTCTAGTGGAGAAGGGTGCTCCATATGCTCACCAGCAGAATGGGCATGCCGAGCGCTTCAATCGTACAATCATGGATAAGGCAGAAGCCATGCGCTTCACTGCCTGTCTTCCTAATTCTTATTGGGAATTCGCTATTAAACATGCGACACGGATCTACAATATGACACCTATCAGGCGTCTAAAATGGAAAACTCCATTTGAAGCTCTTCACAAGGAAAAACCGGATGTTTCCGAACTCCGAGTCTTTGGTTGCGCCGCATATGTCTTTATCCCTGATGAGAAGCGCGCCAACAAGTTATCGCCCAAATCGGAGCTGATGACCTACTTGGGCATTCCTGATGGTGTGAAAGGATTTTTGTTCATGCGCACAAACAATTCCACGTTCGTCGCCACCAAGGCATTGTTCGACGAGGAGTTGTTCCCCCGCTGTCCTGACAGCAATCGACCACCCCACGTTCCTGTTGGAGAGGAATTTCCAGAACGTGATGACCCAGTGAATCCACAAGATCCACCACAGGTAGACGGAGAAGATTGGCTATATGGAGATAATCCTTTTCCATTTCCCATGCCATCTGATCCGGCTCCACCACCTCCCGTACAGGGAAATGATGATGGTGACGACGGTCATAATCGTCAGGACCCACCGCCAGAGCGTCGGGATGAACCTCAGAGGACTCGTAGAAGTAGAATTCCACGACCAAGTCGGGAAGCTTCACCAGCTCCTGAGCCTCGAAGGTCTTCACGCCAGCGGAATGTGCCTACACGTCCAGGAAACGTCTATGGGGAAAAGCGTACCCCTACGGATATAGTCCGTGACATTCAGAACAGCAGAGGATGGAAGCGGTATGTTGGTGAAGATAAGGGTAGCTCCCAATCTCAACCATCAACCGGTGCTGATGCAGGGGTTCCCGGCCCTAGCTCGCAACCAGATTCCTCAAACGCGGGTGCTTCTGATGATCTAGACGAGGATGCACGCATGGAGAAGCTATGCCGGGAAGGGGGAGTAGAGCTCATCACGGCGCTGCTGTCAAAAGCGGTTCCAAATGAGAACCTACCTGATACGTCCAAAATTCGCGATTGGACGTTCCGCGATATCAAGCGGTTGCCTTCTGAACAACAGAAAGGTTGGATTGATGCTTGCCGCGACGAGTTAGAGGCACTTCGTCAGCGCAAGGTCTATTCCCTTGTGGACCGCCCGAAAGGACGGAAGGTTATCAGATGTCGCTGGGTCTTTGACCAAAAATCTGATGGCCGAAAACGTGCCCGCCTAGTTGCCAAGGGTTTCAGTCGAGTCGAAGGAGTTGACTATGACGAGATATTCTCTCCTGTTGTCAGGTATGAGACGTTCCGGTTAGTCATGGCGCTTGCAGCGCTAAATGATTGGCATTGGTCTGGACTCGACGTCAGTAAGGCTTTTCTCTACGGAGAACTTGACGAAGAGGTCTACATGGAACAACCCGAAGGCTTTGTGGCGAGAGGCCAAGAGCGCAAAGTCATGCGCTTGCACAAGGCAATCTATGGACTCAAACAAGCTGCTTTAGCATGGTGGAAAGCGCTGACCAAGTCCACGAAAGCCATGGGCTGGATCCGACTAACATCGGATGCCGGCGTGTTCTTCTACAAGGACTCTGATGGCAGCATAGCCGTCATAATAGTCTATGTGGATGATGCTCTGTTCTTCTCCAAGAACAAGAAGCTCCTCGCCTTTCTCAAGGCTGAGTTCAACAAGCGATGGGAATGCCGCAATTCTGAAGATACTCCAGAGTTCTTGCGCGTGCGCCTCAGTAGAGTAGGATCTTCGATCAAGATTGATCAGATTCCTTATCTCGACAAGGTGCTAGAGCGCTTTGGGATGCAGAACGCCAAGTTCGCAGCGACCCCTCTACCGGCTGGATATGTTCCAATGCCAAATGAGGATGAAGTCGATCCAGAGCTCAGGAAGAAATTCCAATCAGTCATTGGATCTCTTCTCTTCATCATGCTAGGCACACGTCCTGATATTGCATTTGCTGTGACCAAATTGTCACAATTTGCCGCCAATCCGTCCCAAGACCACCTCCATAAAGCGCTGTATATCTGCCGCTATTTGGCTGGTACTAGGAATTATTCGCTCATTTTCAATGGTGCAACGGATAGAGGGCTAATTGCATTTAGCGATTCAGACTGGGCTGCTGATCCGATCAAGAGGAGGTCTACCACTAGTTTCTTCACGAAATTGGCAGACGGGATTATTTGCTGGCAGTCTAGGCTTCAGCGCACTGTCGCGCAGTCTTCGACCGAAGCAGAATACATGGCGATTTCAGATTGTAGTCGCCAGGTGATGTGGTTGAAGAGTGTCCTTTCGGAACTCCAGTTCAAACTCACCATCCCAGTACCCATTTGCGGTGACAATCAGGGTGCACTCTTCAGTGGCAGCAATGCCTACCGAGACCGCAGGATGAAACACATAGACATCCGCTATCACTACATTCGTGAGCAAGTCGAGGAAGAAGAGGTTGAACTGTTCTTTATTCCGGGCAGTGAGAATCCTGCAGATATGTTCACCAAGAACCTAGGACGCGTCAAGTTCGAGAAGTTCAGGTCCCAACTAGGACTTGAGTTCAACTCGTCCTGAAGGAATGGCCGATGGAGATTTCGCTTTCAAACACTATCCTGTGGTTTTCAGCGTGGGGGAGTGTTGATCAAATGATGATCTTATCATCTGCCAGATGGATGTCGTGATACACATCTTATGACTCCATCACGTGTCATCTAGAGTCATGTCGACTCGTCCTAAATAGACACAAATAGCCCCCTGTATTGTATATAAGGAGGGCTCTATTACCCTATAATCCAAGTCTCTTGACTACTCCCGCATAGTGCCCACACTAAGCTCTCACTCACACAGGTGAGCTGCTAGACGCTCTCCCCAGTGCTCAACAGTCTATTGTCTTCAGCAAGCAGCTTCGTGTCGTGGCTTTGTTGGAAAGTTTGGTTGTCGAAGTCTCGCAGCAGCTGGATTGTTTCTATCCTTGAGCTGCGTGACAGTGCCACGTACATGTTGAATAGACTCAACCCCCCGTAGGTGGCATTGCTATGTCCACGATGACGCGCTTCAATGTTTGACCCTGCAACCTGTAATCCGTGAATGCATACGCGCCCGTCAACGGATATTGTCGTCGGGTGATAGTCTTGTTGACACTGGTCCCTCTGCTCAGCCATGATTTTACCAGGTACGTCGTTTTTGCTGGCTGTATCGGCAGAACACCTGATGGCAGGCCAGACAGTTGTGCTGCTCTTGTGCGCTCAAATTGTACAAGGATGTATGCAGGCAGCCTTTTCAAGTGAACCACTGATTCGGGGCCAATGGGTGGTTCATCGGGGTCCAGGATGATGTCCTTGATTGTTCCCCGTGCACCGTTGGTCAAATCGAGATCGGTTTCGACGTTGTTTGTTACCATAACTGACATTCCAATGGCCAGTTCAATCAAATGTGGCAAGTCCTTCTCCATATTGTTGCCCGCATGACCCTTGCTGAGGTGCAAAGCCAGTGCATACCGGTCTGCGACCGACAACGGGGCTCCTCAATATGTGTCACTTGCTGCACAGATGTACAACTGTCGTGCTTGATGACGACACATCTTGTGTACAGCTTGCGTGTTCCATGGCACACGCACTCCATGTCTAGGCGTCACCTATGGACATCGTCAGCCCGCTTTCCAATCATGCCTCGCACGTACCAATGTGGCATCCTGCCATGGGTCATCTTCGAAGTTATCGTCGGGGCTCAGGCACAAGGTGCGCAGCATTGACATGTGATGTTCTTTCACATTGCCAACCCGCAGATGCTGTAGGAAGTCTAACCACACTTGGTCCATGACTCGCATTTGCTGTTTCAGCAGAACCACTGTGCTGAACTCCTCATAGATGGTGCGCCCGATCTTTGTGTCAACATTGTCTTTGATGATGTCCATGGGATAATACAACGCTTGCGAAGCGGACATTGCGACCAGTGGAAATTGGTAGAAGTCCCCGCACAATATGACGCTCAGACTGTCATAATTCGGCCACTTTTTCATCTTATCTTCGATGATCTCATCTTATCTTGGCACGACTTATCTTATCACGGATCACGGCATCAGACAATCCGGGCTAGGGGAACAGGGGTCATCTTTATCGATTCAAGGCTGCGCGACATATGCTCCGGAAGGTTCTACTACAACCCATGACCAGCGTTCCATGCGGTACATAGCCCTATGACTCATTAGTTGTAGATATGACTCAGACCGGATTTGGGTATAAATACTGTAGTTACTTGGTTGTATTCTCCAGTCTTCAAATTCACTTCTCTTTTCGACTTTATTTTTGGGTTGATTGTCACATAATTCGAAGACTCCCCTCCTACCCTCCTACCTCATACCTCTTACCACTGCATCCCTCACTGCTACGCCCGCTATATCCTCTTCATCCTTATCAACTCACTTATCTTTCTACCGAATCATCTAGTTGTTCTCTGTGATCGCAGTGAAGGGTTCATATCGAGCAAACAGCACCAGGCCACGGGTAACATTGAGCCCGACCCAAGCCTTACGGTAGCTACAAGGAGTGCTGCGGAGACCTTCGGGAAAACGCACCTCAGGATCATCGGGCACGTGAAGAGCTAGGCCCGGGATCTTTTTGCTAGCAAAAGAACCTTTCCTCGAGTGCTTGTACAGCACACGAATTCATCATTTCGTTCCGATTCCCATCGTCGTCTGGGAGTCCGTCCCCTCCCCCCATCGTACCATTGTCGCCCGATCTGGCGCACCAAAATCAACCTGGGACCTCTAATCCCTACCTCGCCCTCCCACCGCCTGAAGACGAGATCCCGGACCTCGACGAGTTACCCTCCGAACAACCACCTCCACCTACCACGCCTGCTCCTACCATGTCAGGACATCACCGCATCACCCTCGCCGCCAATCCTCCCTACTTCGATGGCGACAAATCCAAGTACCTGGGCTTTGTGGACGCGTGCACCACTTACATCGGTGCCTATTGATCAGAGTTCTCGCTGGACAAGGCAAAAATCCTTTTCGTCCTCTCCTACCTCCGTAATGAGGCCGGCACAAGCTGCGCCGCCTCGAGATGGGCGATGAACTGGAAGCAGCACAATTTCGAGGGTTTCCAAGGAATGAAGGCGGGAGTCACCGCGACAACCTTCCTGGAGGAGCTCCAGAGGGCCTTTGGAGACTCTAACGCAGAACAAGTCACTGCTGCCCGACTCATGGCCCTTTGTCAGGGCAGGCGGTCCTTTGCAGACTACATCTCCGACTTCGAAATGCTGGCTGCGGACGCCGGGTACAACGTGGTCACCACCACCAATGACCAGGGCGAATACAAGAAGGGGGATCAAGACAATATCCTCATCAAGTTTCTTGAGCGCGGGCTCAGCAGTGAGATTGCGAGCCGCCTCTACAACACTGGCGTTCCCCTGCCCAAGGCATACGGCGCCTTCAAAAACTGGTGTGTTAACATCGAGGCCAATGCCTTGCGCGACCAGCTGCGTAAGGCATCCTATGCGCACTCGACTCCACGGCCTCCCCCCCAATTCCGCCCTCAAGCAGCACCAGCGGTGCCCACACCTGCTCCGACCCGGCCGGCTGCCAACGAACCGGTCCCGATGGAAATCGATCGCACCCATGCCTGCGGCCGCAATATCATCTGCTACAACTGTCAGCAGCCTGGGCACATTGCGCGGAATTGTCCGGAGCCCAAGAAGAAGCGCACGTTCTTCAATTGGGCCACAATGCTGGAAGAGATCGAGAACAGGGACAAGGACAACAAGTTCCTCAAGGAGATTGCCGAGAAGCTGTGTGAGAAGGGTTTTTGAAGCGCTCCACTCCTCTAGCCAAGGAGGTGGAGCGTCCGGACTATGGACGATTTTCTGTACTTGTTTCAATTAAAGACATGAACGATTCTGCACATACATATACAATCTTGGACTCACTACGTACCAATATTCACGATTTTCTCATTGCTGATATGGAAAAAGAAGGCCAAAGAAAAATAGCTTTAAATAGAGAGTATTTACAAGGTAAAAAGGATCAGAAAGCTGCAGATAAATTAATTTTGGATTCCGACGTATTTATGGCTCGTGGAGAAGGAACCACGTCAACAAAGACCGAAAAGGGGAGCATTGCTCCGAAGGCTCAATCCTTGGAAAAGGAGGAAGCGCCTAAGGAATCTGCCGAAATCAAGGTTCCAGAAGCACCCAAACACACCAGGGTGCCAGATGCTGTCCCGAGGAAATTGGCGGCTGAGAAACAGAAGGGCCCCCAGCCCAGCAGGTTGGCGCAGTAATTGCGCAGTTACCAGGCCAAAAGGAAGAGGCATTCGATGGACATATATGTCCAGATCACGGGTCTGGACTCAGGGAAAACGCGCGGAGTCAAGGCGCTGCTCGATAGCGGCTGCAGTACCTGCTGCATCAATACCGACTACGCACGGGCGGAGAAGTTGGATATCCAAGAGCTCCCACAACCCATTGTGGCTCGTAATGCCGACAACACCAAGAACATCAGCGGTCGGATCACGCACTACGTTGATCTGAGGATGAGAATCGGTCCTCATGTGGAGACATGCACGTTCCTTCTGACGTGCTTAGGGAAAGCCCGGATCTTCATCGGTCTTGATTGGCTGATGGAACACAACCCCGAGGTGGATTGGCAGGGGCAGACCATGAGATTCAGCCGATGCCCAGAGCGGTGTCACATGAGGGGTCACAAGGAACATCAAGCGATGATTGACATGGATGCAATCGACCTGGACACGGGCACGCCAGATCTGGAAGAGGGAGAATCGATCCTGTTGGTCGATTTTGGGAAGGAAGTGGACCTGCGGCTGAAGGAAACGCCGGCGCAGAAATTCACAGAAGAAGCAGAAAAGGAGAAGGAGAGAATGACCGAGGGAAAGATTCCGGATCAATATCGGGAATTTGTCAAGGTATTCGCCAAGGAATCGTTCGACTTGCTACCGGACCAACGGGCATGGGATCATGCAATCGAGCTCAAACCTGGTTCCAAAGCAGTGGACTGCTAGGTGTACCCATTATCGCGAAATGAGCAGGTCAAACTCGATGAGTTCTTAGAAGAGAACCTGGCCAGCGGATGGTTCAGGCCATCAAAATCACCCATGGCTTCAGCATTCTTCTTTGTCAAAAGAAGGATGGTTCGCTACGTCCCGTCCAAGATTATCAGAAGCTGAATGAGATGACAATCCGAAATTGATACCCGCTGCCGCTGATCTCCGAACTGGTCCATAACCTATGCGGTGCAAAGTTCTTCACCAAGCTTGACATCCGGTGGGGATATAACAACGTACGGATCAAAGAGGGCGACGAGTGGAAGGCTGCATTCCGCACGAACCGAGGGCTGTACGAGCCCTTAGTTATGTTCTTTGGTCTCACAAATTCCCTGGCAACGTTCCAAAACATGATGAACAACATACTCCGAGGGCTGATCAACAAGGGCCACGTGGTAGTCTATCTGGATGATATACTGATCTTCACAGAGAACTTGGACGAACATCGGCGGATCATGAAACGAGTGCTCGAATTGCTCCAGAAACATAAGCTATACCTGAAGCCCGAAAAGTGCGAGTTCGAACGCACGGAAATCGAATATTTGGGTGTGATTATTGGACACAATTCGATGCGGATGGACCCAGTCAAGATCAAGGGCGTGATGGAATGGCCAGAACCAAAGAGCGTCAAACAAGTCCAAGCCTTTCTAGGGTTCACAAACTTCTATCGACGCTTTGTCTGGGGATATGCGGAGGTCGCCAAGCCGTTGACACGGCTGACAGGGAAGGCAGGATGGTCATGGGGTACGGATGAGCATGCAGCATTTGATGGGTTGAAGAAGACAATCGCGGAGGATGCGGTCTTAGCACTGCCAAACGACACCGGCCAATATCGTCTGGAAGCCGATGCTTTGGAAGGGGCAACAGGCTCCGTTTTGAGCCAAAACCAAGACGGCATTTGGCGCCCAATCACATTTATTTCACACGCGCTGACTGAAACCGAGCGAAATTACGAGATCTACGACAAGGAAATGCTTGCGATCATGTTATCACTCGATGAATGGAGGCAGCTGCTCCTGGGAGCCACGGAAACATTCGAGATCTTCACTGATCATCAGAATCTCGAGTACTTCCGAAAGCCGCAGAAGCTCAATCGACGACAAGCACGATGGATCACGGAGCTGGCGGAGTTTGATTTCACCTTACGACACCGACCCGGTGCACTCAACCACAAGGCGGATCTCCTGTCTCGACGAGCGGATCACGATCAGGGCAAGAACGACAACAAGGACGTCACGCTACTGAAGCCTGAATTCTTCCGATCACAAGAAGTCACATTCGAGGGACAGGATCAGCAGCTAGTTGATGAGATCAAGACCACTCGATCGATTGATGGAAGCATCAAGGTGGCCTTGGAGAAGTCACTCGCTGGATGGAGAAAGGAAGATGGGCTCATCACATACCACGGGAAGCTCTACGTACCGAGGGACGAGGAACTGCGAGACAAGATCATCAGACTACACCACGACACACCCTTGGTCGGACACGCTGGGATCAATCGAACGCAGGAAATGGTGGAAAGGAACTACTGGTGGCCAAGGATGGAGAACCAAATCCGGAAATACATCCAAACGTGCGAGGCGTGCCAGCGGACCAAGACCAGGAGAGCAAGGACAGGGACTCTGCACCCGCATGCAGTCCCAAATGCGCCATGGGAAATCATCTCAATGGATCAAATCGGACCCCTACCGGTCAGTAATGGGTATGACGCAATTCATGTGTGGTGTGACACCTTCACCAAAATGATCCATGTCGAACCCATTAGTACTCACATTAGCAGCAAAGGAGTGGCACGGTTGACAAGGGACCAAGCTTTCCGCTACCACAGGATCCCCCGCAAGATCATCACTGACAGGGATTCACGTTACATCAAAGGCTTCATGAAGGAGACAAATCGGATGTTGGGCGTGGAAATGAACCCGGGGACCGCCTATCACCCGATCACAGATGGACAAACAGAACGCATGAATCAGGAGATCGAGCACTATCTCCGCATCTACGTCAATTACCATCAGACGGACTGGTCGGAGTGGCTGGGAATGGCGGAGTTCGCATACAACAACAAGATGAACACGTCTACCAAAATATCACCGTTCTACGCCAATCACGGATATCACCCATGGAAGGGAGTGGAGCAGCGGATGGAATCAAGGAACGAGTCGGCGGGGGAGTTTGTAAAAAGAATCAAAGAAATACAAGACGAAGCAAAAGCAGCATTGGAAAAAGCAAAAGAAAAAATGAAAAAATACTACGATAAACAAAGAAAAGAAGTTCCGGAGTTGAAGGTTGGGATGAAGGTGTACATAGAAGGGGAAAATATCGAGACGGATAGACCATCAAAGAAGATGAGCGACAAGAGATTAGGACCATACGAGATACTGGAGAAGGTTGGAGCGGCCGCATGGAAGCTGGATTTGCCGGACACGGACCGAAGACACCTGGTGTTCAACAAGTCACTATTGACACCATATCACGAACCACCCCCCCATTGCCAAGAGAAGAGGCCCGTAGCCAAGATGATCGGAGGAGCAGAGGAGTGGGAAGTCGAAGAGATTGTGAAAGAGCGAAACATCGGCCGAGGAAAACAGTACTTGGTCAAATGGAAGGGCTGGCCACATAGCAAAAATACTTGGGAACCATCACGTCACCTTACCCACGCAAAGAAGGTTCTGAGAGATTGGCAGAGGAAACAATCCAACCCAGACACACGCATTCGCCTCCTGCCAACGCTCAAAGCTGGACACTGGGATTATCTCATTCATTGCTACAAACCCAAAGACGAGCGCCTTCCATACCCCCAACGACAACTCTTCGACCCTTACGAGAACATCTTCACGCCCATTGGCCTAGTCGATGAGGACATCGACTCTAGAGAGGGGGTAATGTCATAATTCGGCCACTTTTTCATCTTATCTTCGATGATCTCATCTTATCTTGGCACGACTTATCTTATCACGGATCATGGCATCAGACAATCCGGGCTAGGGGAACAGGGGTCATCTTTATCGATTCAAGGCTGCACGACATATGCTCCGGAAGGTTCTACTACAACCCATGACCAGCGTTCCATGCGGTACATAGCCCTATGACTCATTAGTTGTAGATATGACTCAGACCGGATTTGGGTATAAATACTGTAGTTACTTGGTTGTATTCTCCAGTCTTCGAATTCACTTCTCTTTTCGACTTTATTTTTGGGTTGATTGTCACACAGACCCCCAAATGACTTGTCAGTTGCAGATGCTTTCCTCATGCCGATGTTGTGTGACAATTGCGCAAGAAACTGCTTGCTAATCATCAAAATTTCATCAATAATGAGGTACTTGCGTTCCCTCCAAAATGTTTGGAGTTTGGCCTTGTTCGCGTCACTGATTTTTCCGCCCCTCAGTCCCATGGCGCCTATAGTATGTGTCGTCTTTCCATCAATGAGGGAAGCTGCAACTTCTGTGTATGCAGCCTTTACAAGCCACTGATGGACGCCATGATTCTGGAATGACCGCGTCACCTTCGTGATAACCTTGGACTTGCCAGTACCCCCTTCGACATGGATCAACATCCTGAGTGGCGGCACGTCATGCCCTGCGAGCACTCGTCCCAAATGCCACATGATGATGTCATATGCCCTTTGTTGGTCTGGTTGCAACATGATCACTTCCTCCCCCGTTGTCTCTTCATCACAGCTGTCCACGTCAAACATTTGGCTGGACTTCGTCGTTTCTCCGTTTGGCAACATGTCACTCGTGATCATTTCAACAGTTTCGGTTTGGTCCAACCCTTCTACGGCAACTGTCGCAGTGTCTTCGCCTTCGTCCGATGGCCCCAGTATGGTGTTTTGCATCTGCGCTAAGTAGTCCATCTGCTTCTTCCATTGTATGACGTTGATGAGATCGTCCCCAGAAGCTGGAGCCACTCTGTGACCCGCAGTTCTGATAGCCCAGGGTCCGTCTTTGTCATTGAACAATCTGACTAGCCGTGCAATTTCGATGGCCATGTCACCGTGATCTGCCTCCCGCTGTGAAAATCGGCAAGCCTGCAAAGCCGATATGTCATCTTCTGTGATCCCTGGAGCAACTGTTGTCTCCTTGTCACCACCGCTGGGCTTGGTCATGCTCGAAGAAGCCAATCCCAGTATGTCTTCATCAATTTCATCATCTTTGCTTGCGAGCACCGCAGACTGACAAGAGTGATAGAACTGAATGTTCGTCAGGATGTCCCGGTTGCGTTCGGGCCCCAACTGAGCAAAATGCTGAAAGGCTTCTTCCCAGGTCTCGTCAGGCCGCTTGAGTCCTTCTGTTATACAACGCCATGGCTTTAGAAGTAAAAGCATTGACGCATGGTAGAAGTCCTGTTGGTCGACATCATCGCGGCGCGGGAACCATTCACCGATGAAGTTGGGCAAACTATTGTGGCTGGGTGCTCGCATGACACGCTGTTTCTGTTTGTGAGTGGGATGGGCCGGCCTGTAGCGGATACGTGTATTCTTGGGACGTCCTCGGCAGCCTGATCCTGCCCTAGCGTTGGAGTGCATTTGTGCTTCTTGTTCCTGCTATGTGATGGCAACCTCATAGGTTTCGACGAAGTAATCAAGAACACTATATGATTCCAAATCATCTCCACGTTGCACGTAGTCTGTCACTTGGTTCTTGGCAAATATTAAACTGCGTGTGTTCATCATCAAGGTTACGTTCATCTGGTTGCATTCCTGTGGTCCACGGCTAGTGAATGCTTCAAAGTATGGGGTTTTGAAAGAACCTCTGTCTTGTCTGTGGCAGGACCAAGGGAGCGCTCACTTGTTTGGGCACTGGCGGACTGGATATGCAATTCTCGGGTGGGCTCAGCAAAAGCGTCTGTCAATCTGAATGGCGCATGATGGAATGAGCATTTGCACATGTCCACGTGGGTGAACGTACCCTTTATGTTGGTGCAGGCTGGGAAATGCCTTGCGCAGGGTGGCTGCAAATGAAGTCCAATATATGGGGACGTAGTTGTGCAACTTGTAGCAGTCACCCCATCCCATCAAGTATGAGATGACCATGGGAGCACCCAACTCCTGTTCCCAATTGATTGCGTGTACCAGCCAGAAGAGCAATAGACGTTGCCTGTCACGAAGATCTTTGATCTGTTCGTCGGGAAGAGCTGCCATCGCAGTATGATAGGCATAGCCTTTTGCAAGAATTGCGGATGTGTTGTGGTTTCGAAGCTGGGGTTTTGTCGCGTAACCAAGGATGTACAGGGTGATCTTCTTGGTATCATCACCATGTGTGAGAAACTTGGAATTGTTGTTGCAGCGCACATTGACCAATAATGCCGGGTTCCAACCGTTGATATATTCATACAACCGCTTGGGCCCCCAATCTCCGTTTGGGAAAACGTAGTCATCAGTGGAGCAAGGGAATGGTGCTCTCCTCTTGCAACGCAGGTGCCCTGACTTAGTAACCACAAGGCAGCGCCAAATGTTGCATGTGTGCACCTGCTCTGTTCTTGCCAAACACCGCTCAAAGTCTTGCACCTGTTCCCAATATGCAGGGACGTCGGGGTTGGGAGGCCGGTTGTACGCAATCTCTTTCTCCACCGCAATATCTTTGACCCCCTCAGCCAAATCCAAACCCGGGAGGTATGCACACATGTTCACACGTATGTAAGCCCAGATCTTTTCACGGAAATCTTCCCGTTGTAAGAGTTCTTGCATTTTGTCTGCATTTGGTGCCCAGCGCAGAGCCGCTATGAGATGGAAGTGGAGAGATGCTCGGTTTTGCCCTTCGACCATGCCAAAATATGCCGCTAACTGTCCGAAAATGCCCATCTCAGACCGCACGCGAAAGCCCAACGTCTTGATGCCAAATAACATCTCCAGGATTGTGCGGATAGTGAAATGGAAAAATTTGGTGGCAGTGTATGGATCTGCGGCAATGTTTTGGCCTCGCTGATTGACATCTGGGCCAGCTGTTGATATGAAATTGTTGAGATCAATGTGCTCTCCCGCAAAAACTTGTGCAATTGGGTCATGTATGCCGGACGGGTTTATAGTGATCCACAAATTCCAAGGGCCCGTGTACAGTGTCGTTGACCAAAGTTGGCTGCGGAGGATGGTGCATGATTCATTAGAACCTTGAACGCGGCCAACGGCGGAATGGACATGCTGTCGAAGCAGACAAACAGCCGGATCCGAGATGCGTTGCTTTTGATCCTCCTCTATTTTCGCCTTTTCGAGTGCTTGTTGTGTGATTGCGGAGAGGATCCAGGCATCTTTTTCAAAGTCCTTGCGACGCATCTGGATGCGGGCTGACATGAGGGCCTGCCGCCCCTGAGAGATCCCAAAGGCAACAAAGGGGAATGTCTCATGCCGCCAAAATTGATGGTCGTGGTACTGCAGAGCCCACCTGACATGTTCACTGAAGGATAGATTGGTCGTGCGGTCTGCTTCTGGGCCTCCGACTCCAAACGGGAACAGGCAGGGAAAGGCGCGTTCGAAGAAGTTGGGCCGGTTGAGGTCTGCTGGCTCCGTGGAGCCTTGCGGAGGTCACCCAAAGTCACTGACGGGATGCGATCCATGGCGAACAGCATAGCCTCCTTCTTCCCCGGTCCTCCAAAGGTTGGCAAGCCCCCACTGCATCATGTCAGGGGAACCCCCGTTTCGGACCGCTCTGCCTTCGATCAGGCATGTGATTGCGCTCGCGTGACCTGTCAGCTGTCACGCGCCGCGGCCCGGACTGCCGTGCCGAGCGCTTCTCCTTGATGGGCACATGGCCAGGTGCCCCATTGTTCCTATTGTCCCCGCTCCCATTGTTCTGTCATGGCCGTTGTACTTATTGTCCCCATTGTTCTTTGTTTGTCGCTGCGCGCTCCATTGTTCTTGTATCATATAAATAGTGGCGCCTGGCAAGGAGAATCCCCAACACGGTTTCTCTTTGGATTCTCCCTTGCCAGGTATGCCGGTCTTGTACCTAGCTACCACTATTAATCACCTTTGGATTCTCCCTTGCCAGAACTCTGAGATCGGGTCTCGAGGTTGCCCTTACAGCAGAAACCGTGTTCCTAGGGATAACCGGACAAGATTGCGAGGTTCAACGCTGACGCCAGTGGAGAAGAGTCGACGAGCGACCAAGACCACCACTCCCTCACCTCCTATCTTGCCCCCTCCTCCCCTCCACGAGCAGACCCGATGAGCATGGATGACAACGAACAGCAGCGGCTGTCTGCTCTGGAGACCAGCATACAGAACATCGAGGCCGTACTCACCCGCCTCATCTCTCAACAACAACAACCCCCTGCCCCTGCCCCTGCTCCAGCTCCGGCAGCGGGTCCAGGTGTTTCTACTGGCGCCAGCCCTGCGCGCCCCCTTATCCGTCCGAATCCTCCCTTCTCCTTCGATGGGGATTGCACCCTGGGCAAGAGCTTCTTGCATTCAGTGAAGCAGTACTGGCGTCTACTTCCTGAGGCGTTCTTCGTGAATGGGGCAGTCTCGGAAGAAAAGGTAGTCCGCTTTGCCCTGTCCTACATGTCCAAGGACTCCGCGGCCTCCTGGTCCGAGCGCATGTCCGAGCGCACCCCATTCCCGTTCCCTACTTGGGCTCTCTTTGTCACCGAGTTCAAGCTTCGATTCGTCGAGGAGAACGAGCAAGACCACGCCCTGGCGCGACTGGAGACCCATCTGTACTATATGGGCTCCCGTGATGTGTTCAAGTACACGGACAAATACGACGACCTCCTTGATCTCGCCGGCTATACCGACGATCTGGTCAAGGTGACCAAATATAGGACGGGCCTGGATCCGAAGATCAACCAGGCTATCACCACCTCTGGCAACCCTCCCAGGCTTACTGACTACGCCGAGTGGCGTGTCCGTGCATTCCGGCAGTACAATGCGGAACAAGCTGCCAAGGCGTCTCGAGGCCACGTCCCTCCCCCCCGAGCGCCTCCTATTGTCCCTCGTCCTCGTGCCCCGGTGCTCCCTGCTGTAGCACCGGCAATTGCTGCTCGCCCGGCGCCGGCTCCTGTTGCCCACCCCATCCCCATGGAGTTGGATCGGACCCGGCTCCGCGGTGACGTTTGCCGCACATGCTTCCGCTGCGGCAGTCCGGGCCATCTTGCCCGTGACTGCCCCACCCCAGCTGACATACGTCACGCTGATGTCCTTGATGAGGTCATCAATCAGCTGGGGAGTGATCTGCTTTCCGAGTTGGTTGCTCGGGTCGCGACCACTGCAGCCGTTGCGGATCATGCGTCCAACGTCGCAGCCAAGGAGGAGCAGGGTTTTCTCCCCAGCGACGAGTGAGTAGTACGCCCTTGTTCGCTTCACGTAATCGTTTCTCCTGTTTGTATGATGAATCCAATTCCCTCCACTCTGCAACAGTTGAAGCGATAGACGTACACCCTGCTCCCCCTCTAAACCCACGAGTCCGTAAGGAGAAGTGGGAACGCAAGCTCCCTTCCTGCTACGTCGCTGCCGCCTCTCCCGGGGCAATTCTCTCCACCTCCCCCTCGAGATCGAGTCCACCGACAACGCAGTGAAGTTATCTCTCAAAGGCCTGGTCGATTGTGGTGCCACATCCGACTTCATCGACTCGGCCTACGTCCTCGAAAATCACCTCCCCATTCGTCGACTCACCCAGCCCATCCCCGTTTACAATGTGGACGGCACGCCGAACGAGGCCGGTTCCATTCGCAAAGTTGCTGATGTGGTTCTCCGTTACCAGGGCCACAGTGAACGCGTCCAGCTTGCTGTCACCCGTTTAGGCAAGCAGCAGCTCATTCTAGGGTACTCCTGGCTCCGGAAGCACAACCTGGAGATCAACTGGGATACCCAGGAGGTAAAGATGAGCCGTTGCCCTTCCGGTTGCTCCACCTGCCGGGAGGAACTTTGCAAAGAACGTTGATCTGCCAGAACCGCGGCCCGGGTGCTTCGCACCATCAGACAAGGTCCGGTTCCATCCATCTGCGCTGTCGACGTTGAGGACCACGAGGACAAAGAGATGCTGGAGCTTTTGCCAGACTCGGACGATTACGACCCTGAAGATGTCAAAGAAGATGACGACTCCTTGGAAGCCGGTGACCGTATCTTTTACGTCCGCTTCAACCCTTCTGAAAACATCCGAGCCACCAGCACCGTCTCTCAGCGACTCGCCGAGGCGTTTGCCAAGAACTCTGCACCTCCTCGGGATTCCATCCCCGAGTGGGCCCGCGAGTTCGAGGATGTTTTCAGCAAGGAGTCCTTCGACAACCTGCCAGAGCGACGCCCCTGGGACCACGCCATTGAACTGGTTCCCGACGCAAAGCCGACCAACTGTAAGGTCTACCCCATCTCCCCTCTCGAACAGAAGCAGCTCGACAGCTTCATTGAGGAGGGCATGGCTACTGGCAGGATTCGGCCATCAAAATTGCCCATGGCATCTCCCGTCTTCTTTGTGAAGAAGAAAGACGGCAGCTTACGGTTTGTCCAAGATTACCGAGCACTCAACGCGATGACAGTGAAGAACCGCTACCCGCTTCCCCTGATCAATGATCTCATCAACAAGCTCAAGGGAGCTCGGTTCTTCACCAAACTCGACGTTCGCTGGGGCTTCAACGACGTACGCATTTGTCAAGGCGACGAGTGGAAGGCAGCGTTTCGGACAAACCGCGGGCTCTTTGAGCCGTTGGTGATGTATTTCGGCCTGACCAATTCCCCCGCAACGTTCCAGACGATGATGAATGACATACTTCAGGACCTCATCCTCTCTGGCGACGTTATGGTGTACCTCGACGACATTCTCATCGCACATTCCAATATCCATCGTCACCGGGAAATCGTGAACAAAGTCCTCCGACGTCTCCGCGAGAACAAGCTCTACCTTCGCGCGGAGAAATGCGAGTTCAAGATGCCGTCGATCGAATACCTTGGGGTGATCATTTCCCACAACCATGTGGAGATGGACCCGGTCAAGGTCGCAGGTGTGGCGGAGTGGCCAGCTCCGGCTAACAAGAAGGAAGTGCAGCAGTTCCTCGGCTTCACTAACTTCTACCGGAGGTTCATCCGGGATTTTTTGCACGTTGCCCGTCCTCTCTTTGACCTCACCAAGAAGGACGTGGCATGGACTTGGGGCGCCAACGAGGCAGCTGAGTTTCTTGCGCTGAAGAACGCTGTTACCTCTACCCCAGTCCTGCAGCTCCCAGATGCTTCCAGGTCTTACCGCCTCGAAGCAGACAGTTCGGACTTCACGACCGGTGCTGTCATCTTGCAGCAGTCCCCCGTGGATGACAAGTGGCATCCGGTTGCCTTCTTCTCGAAGAGTCTTAACGAGGTCCAGCGGAACTACGAAATCCACGACAAGGAGATGCTCGCCATCGTCCGCGCCTTGGAGGAGTGGCGACACTTCCTCGAGGGCGCCAAGCACCCCGTTGAGATCTGGACCGACCACAAAAATCTGGAGTACTTCCGGAAGGCCCAGAATCTCAACCGTCGTCAAGCCCGCTGGTCCCTCTATCTGTCTCGCTTCGACTTCACCCTGCACCACCAACCTGGCCGCCTCATGGGCCGCCCGGATGCTCTCTCGCGCCGCCCTGACCACGGAGTCGCTTCGGACAACGCAGACGTCACACTGCTGCGCCCGGAGCTGTTCCATGTCCGGGCCTTGGAGGGTCTCACTGTCTCTGGACCCGAAGCCCCTCTCCTGCGCGACATCCGGGAGGCCCTCGCCGGTACCCCCGACCTGGAGGAGCCCATTGTGTTGGCAGCACGTGAGCTCCTCAAGGAACGCGGAGTTCGCTCTGCTCGGGCTGCGGAGTGGCAAAAAGAAGGCGGCCTGCTCTACTTCCGTGGCAAGCTGGTGGTTCCACGCAACAACGACCTCCGCCGACGCATCCTCGAGCAGCACCACGACACCCGCGTCGCAGGGCATGCCGGCCGCTTCAAGACGTTGGAGCTGATCTCTCGGAACTACTGGTGGCCCCAGTTGTCTTGACACGTCGGCCGATATGTGGCCACCTGCGACCTGTGCTGCCGAACCAAGGCGCTCCGCCAACTCCCAATCGGGGAACTCCATCCCACGGAGGTCCCTTCGGAGCGCTGGGAAGCGGTGTCGGTGGACTTCATTGTGCATCTGCCAGACACTCACGGGTATGATGCTATCATGGTCGTTGTTGACATGCTTGGGAAGCGCAGCCACTTTATAGAGTGCCACACCCGGCTCTCCGGTGAAGGTGCCGCCAGGCTTTTCTACAAGAACGTCTGGCGCCACCATGGGCTGCCGTCTAAGTATGTCTCTGACCGTGGCTCCCAGTTCATAGCAGAGTTCACGCAGGAGCTGTGGAAACTGGTCGGGGTCTCATCGGCAATGTCTACGGCTTGGCATCCACAGACGGACGGCCAGACCGAGCGTGTGAACCAGGAGCTCGAGCAGTTCCTCCGGATCTTCACCAGCTATAACCAGGACGACTGGGACGAGCTGCTTCCCGCTGCAGAGTTTGCCTACAACAACCATATTCACTCATCCACGCAGCAGGTCCCGTTCATGACAGATACCGGTCGACTCCCTCGTATGGGCTTCGAACCGAATGGACTACGCTCAGCTGTGAACGAGTCAGCAAACGACTTCCGCGACCGCATCGCGTCCGGAGTGGCAGAAGCCAAGTTGGCACTGGTGAAGGCCAAAGATGAGTACAAGCAGTACTACGACCGCCGGAGGGTCTCGGCTCCAGACATCAAGGTCGGAGATCGAGTCTGGCTTGACGCTTCTGACATAGCAACAACGCGCCCGTCCCTCAAACTCTCTCACCGACGGCTGGGTCCCTTCAAAGTCACCCAGGTTGTTGGGCGCGGCGCTTACAAGCTTGACCTCCCTCGCCGCCTCTCTGGTCTTCACCCGGTCTTCCCCGTCATCAAGCTGCAGCTCGTTGAGGACGACCTGTTTCCGACACGCCCGGCTCGTGAGGAGCCGCCACCTGTCATGGGCCAAGGAGCTGGCAAGGAGTGGGAAGTCGAAGAGGTTCTGGATGCCAAGATGCGCTATTGGAGCATTTGGTACTTTGTGCGGTGGAAGGGCTACGATTCGTCGCACGACCAATGGGTTAAGCACTCTGATATCTTCGCAGAGGACGCTATAGCGGCATTCTACCGCAAGCACCCCAACAAGCCACGTGTTGAAATGCTGAGGGCGTGCTCACAGGTGAATCTACTATGAAAGTAAACCCAAATATAAACACGTTCACACTCCTCGTAATCAGCTTCTCAGTGTGTGAAAGATGCGAGGGCTTCGGGGCGGACAGAGCACCAGTATCACAACTCTCAATAGACGCAGATCCAATAGTCGCGGAAGACAAAGTCGACGACAAGAATATATAGCAAACAATGGTGTCTCAACCAATATCTTCTATACGAACACAACCAACACTAATCCAATCCACAACCAACAATATAACAAGTCGGAACTTAATACGGAGTATTAAGATCCCTTGTAGCGACAGCGCCTAGATGGTGACGCAAAGCCCAAATATCAAGTCGACGCACTGCCAACCGATACAACCAATATACTGAGTCGACGCACTGCCAACTAGTAAACCCAAATGTCGAGTCGACACACTGCCAACTGACACAACCAAAAGTACTGAGTCGACACACTGCCAACTAGTAAACCAAAATGCCGCGTCGACGCACTGCCAACTAACAGCCAATATCCAATGTCCAAAACCCGAGCACAACTTGTCGACGCACTGCCAAGCAAGAAGTGTGGAACCAAAGTTCTCAAGTCGACGCACTGCCAACTGACCAAAACAACCCGAGCACAACTAGTCGACGCACTGCCAAGCTAGAGGTGTGAAACGATCTCAACAAAGCTCAAAGGCGACGACACTAAGTGCCGCGACTAAACCAGATGCAGCGAATCCGACTTTCTGATATCTCAAAACTCAAACTCAAATCACAGTAGCTACAAGTGCTCAGGGAGCAACTCGTCACGACCGGGCAGGGGTAGCAGAACTTCTTAGGGTGGAATCATGCGGCACGCAAATTGTACAAAACAATCTGAAATGAGAGTGATTCACAGTCCGGGGGAAAGCTTCTAATACAAAGAAACGACGTGCTACTTATACTGTCTACGACGATGCTTAGTAAAGTCCTGTACAACTGCATAGTAGCTACGCTATCTAAGATCAGTTTCCTTTTAGAGTAATTGAAAAGTTGGACGATCAGACAGGTCCTGAGTGATCAGGACCCCGCCCCATTGTCCATATGATACTTTTGATGTGGGCCAACTCGCCGCGTCATACTTTTGGAATACGACGTGTTGGATTGGCCAACGGGTATGTCTTGGCAAGTGAGACCAACATGGGCGCCCCAAGAAGCCGTATGGCCCTAGGCACGCCAGTCGTCCCCCACATGGTTCGGTTCACGGATCTAGCCGTGTCGATTTTAGTGTGTTTGGGTATGGACGCGACTCGCCGTGACACTTGGAAGTGTCACCGCGACGCGTCCACAATGTCCCGTGATCGAATGGATCCTGACATGTGACAAGTTGTCGTCGTGGCATGATCTGAGGAAACGTCCAACTCAAAACCGGGAGTTGCCGCGACAAGATTGGTTCAATCTCGTAACGTCAAGTCCTGTCCAGTAGTAGTCGTATTATTGAGAACGTCGTACATTGCTCAGCCCTTCAGCCCAAGTATCCATCTGCAGAGAATGACCCTTTTTGAGAAGTCGACGCAACGACAGATCCCTTTTGGGGAATTGTCGCGGTCCAAGCGTTCGTCACTAATGGCCCTGAGCCTGGTATAGACTCGTAAGACCAGTTCCACAGTAGTGGTCTGACTGCCTTGCTATCGTCGACACTATCCACAGTCGTCGACTGGGCAGTAGACCCTTAAGTCCTACTGAGCGCAACACTGTCATCCGCGACACGATACACCAAGTGGTTCGAGAGTAAACTCTGTAAAAAGCGCAAAAATACGCCCTTACAGAGTTGGTGCAGAGCGCGTCTGGTAGCCAGCCTATCATCTCCCAGGAACACTAATTTTGACCTCCTGGTCAATCCCGCGACAGTCTCACTGCGTCAGGCCCAAGTCCAACAGTCGACGTCTCATTCATTTATTATTAAAGCCGCGGAGACATAGAGTTATGTTCCCACGTCTTATTCATTTGGTTGTTCGGTTCCTCCCGTGATCTGCCGCGATCAAACTTCTTCCGGCATGTTCACCATATAAATTCCCTTAATTTTCAGGGTCGAGAGTCTCCCTAGTACAAGGCACTCTTGCTTTTTGACCACCATGTCCGCGCCCGACCAGAGCTCCCGCCCTCAAGACAACAACTGTGAGTGACGCCCAAGGCGATTACCGCGACTTTTCAACCATGCTAACCGTCCATCAGCCATCACCGAATCAGCTGTCCCGGGAGCAAACCTGCCTGCCATCAGCCAATGTCTCTCCCATGGCCTGTCGACTCAACTCACCACCTGCCTAGCCCTGAGGCCTACAACCAGATGTTGCGGCAGATGGCTGTCGACGTCCGCCAGATTCAGCAGGTGAGCTCCGTCTTAAGCCCGCTGGAGCGAGCAGTCACGGCGATCAATGATTGCCGCGCCTGTTCGCTTTGGTCTTCCCTTCTTTTCACTCACGTAAGGGCTAGCCGGCGTCTGCGCCTTTGACCACCAACGCTCCAGTTGAGGAGTCGTCGCCGCCCAAGAAACGCAAGCGCGTCGTCGAGCCCGTACGTACGCTCTGTTTTGCTCGTTTAACCATGTTCTGATTGACTCCCAGGCGGTTCCAACCGAACAAGTCGCCGTCCCTTCGTTGTCCCGGCCTGCCAAGCAGAAGGGGAAGGGTGACGGCTCCAAGTCGCAGGCCCCTGCCGCCGTCGCGGGCAGCAAGGTCGTCGTCGCCCAGAAGTCGAACGAGAAGTCGCACAAGAAGCAGCCCAAGGCGGCTCCTCCCAAGGAGTCCAAGGCGTCGTCTCATGCACCTACTCGTAAGTGGCTTTTTCGTTCGATTCACCGAAGTCGCGGGTACTTATTTGTTGTAGCCGCTACCTCGGTCCCTGGCCCACAGGGATCACCTCCCGGGCGCGTCTACAAGAAGACGCACGCAGGTGTGTCCGCTTTTATGGCTTATTTCCTTGATCGTCAGACTAACCACTTTGACTCTCCCAGCTCGGATCCAGGTGTTATCCCTGCCAACCGAGCCCTCTAGTGAGGAGGAAGCCGCCGACGTCGCCGATACCGCAATGGAGGTCGACGACGAGGTGGCTCAGGAGGGAGACGCGCCGTCGGCCGACGAGCTGGCCCTTCCGGTAAGTGACCCAGTTCGTTGATCGCGATTCCCTCGTCTCATGGTGGGTTTGTTCTTGACAGGGGTCCAAGTCCAAGGGGAAAGCGCGATCGAATCTGAGTGCGTTTTTCCTCTTGCCCCCCTCTGTCGTCTACTCATACTTTCATAGCCCCGTCCGTCATCGTCATGGACGACACCTCCGAAAGTGGGGAGGAGACCGGCGACTTCGTCGTAGCCAAGAAGCAGGCCAGCGAGACCCGCGTCAAGCCTAAGGTAAGCCGACTCCTCTTTCCCAGACCACGCCCCTTAATCCGGCTTTTTAGCCAATCAAGAAGGTCGCGGATGGATCATCCAAGTCGACCAAGTCCGTGCCTCACCAACCTGTGCCGAAGGTGGAGGCCAGTCGCAAGGCGAGCGCCCCGCGGCCGACGACTACCCCGACTCCAGCGCCTAAGGTGAGACACGAGTCTCTTGTCTCCCAGACGTCGTCTAATCGTTTTCTTTCTTTTCTAGGTTGCCCAGGCGGCCCCCGCCGCTACCAAGACTCCACACAGTGAGTTGGGCAGGGTGGCCGCGACCCTTGGTCGCGAGCGGAGTGCTGCGGCGGCCAAGGCCGAGCTCAAGGCCCAGAAGGCAGAAAAGTCCGTTGCGGCGTCCAAGAAGAAGTCTGACTTGGTGAGTCGCAACTTCTCTTGTCGTCGACTTCTTACTGACTTGACTGTTTCTAGACTCCTGCGAAGGCGTCGGCCCCCACGCCCCGAGCTCCGTTCACTCCCGCCGCCTACGACACCGAGGTGCTCCTTTTGGTGGCACGCCAAGGGTTCGCGGGGAAGTTGGAAAGGGCCGGCGTCGAGGTGCCAACCGACTTCGTGCGTTTCCTTATCTTTTTCTGCCATGCCTCGACGACTGATTCCCTTTTCATAGGAGGTCGCGCCGAGGCCCTGCGCGATGTGCGTGACGCGACAGCGCGTCTGCTTCAAGAGTGTCGACGGGCGCCACGGCAATCGGTGTGCCCCGTGCGTGCTTTATAAACAGACTTGCACCAACGGCTACAAACCCGCGGAGCAGCTGTATATGGGGCAACGCTTCGGGTACATTGCGCAGATGAGCGCGGATGGTACGCATCCACTTCTTTTATTCATTTCCTTTTGTGATCGTCTCTGACGACCTTTTCAGACCTCAACAAGTCCGCCAACCGTCTTGCCGACACCCTGGACGCATACGGCAGGCTTCTTCGCACGGCCAACGAGATCCGCGTCCTGGCCATTGGCCAGTTCCGTGATTTCGTTGGTTAGCTGAAGGAGCACTTCGACGACGGCTCGGACGAACGCGTCAAGGCAATGTTCGCCCATACCGCGACCGAGATCGATGCCGCCGAGCTGGCCGACATCTGCAAGGGTGTCCGGATGATCTTGGCTCACGGGGACTTGTTGGACGGCGAGGCAAACGAGCGGTTCGCGGCGCCTCCCGCTTTCTTTGATCCGTTTTTCTATCGCAAGATGGAAAAGATGGAGAAGCAGTTCCAGAGGGAGATCGAGAGGGCCCAGGAATTCGACCAGTCGGACCCCGCGACCGTCCAGGATCAAGCGTTCCAGCCTGGTGAGGACCACGAGATCGACGTCGCGCACTTGGCGAGTAGTCGTACCCGTGCGCCTTCCTCGCCGCCTCTGCCTTCGCCATCGCCGCCTCCCGTCGCGTCGTCGTCCCAAGCTGTTCTACAGGTCTTGGACTTTTCTGACAACTACGATGAGACCTCGGCCGAGTCCACCAAGGCCGATTCGGATGAAGACGCGGAGGGTGAAGAAGACGGGTCCGCCGGCAACGAGAACGTCGACAACGGGCAGGTCGACGACGAGAACGTCGAGGACGAGAACGTCGACAACGAGGGCTCCGACGCCGCGGGTGAGACTGCCATGGAGGTGGATGA